TGAAGTATTTGTGGTAAAATTTTGAGCTCAATCAGACCATTTTTTCGAGGGGTCGTAATTTGGAGAATGCCAGAAGATTTCACAGATAAATACAAAACGCTGATGGTTAGATACGAAAGCTGTTTAGCCTCTGTTTGACAACATTCATTTTGTTTTTTGCGCTAACAACAGCGATATAGCTGTTCGTTTGCATTGTTATTGTCTATAGCCTTTAGCATGCCCGCTTCTTAGTTGCTCTAGCCTTTCTATTTTTTAGCAGGTATACCAAATAAAATGAACCAGTTTTGTTTTAAATTTTTTGGGCACTGAAACATAGGTTTAAGCATCTATTCTATACTCAAGAGATAGACAGTTTCCTGTTGTACAATATACAATAACTTTGGTGTTTACATAGTATTTCTTTATCTACAAAATAACAAACAATGAAGTCAAGTAAAGATTAAAGCTGCTATGGAAAGAATCGACTTTAACTTTTCTTATATTTGAACTTTCTCATTACTTAAGATCATTCAGTTTCTCCCTATTAAAGCATAGTGTAACAATTTTGTCGTTCAACTCCACAATCGTTATTTAAATAACATGTAAGATTCGTATCTAAGCCCCCCCACAGATATATGTGTCTCTTCGATCAGCTGGAGAAAGCAAAAGACACTACTAGGAACATTAGAGAGGGGGAATAAAGAAGGAGAAGAATATTCAGCTCTCATATAATTAAAATTTATCATTTTTCTCACAAGTTAGAAATTAAAATTCTTGATATCCTGATTGGGATATAGATTTTCTTGATATCCCAATCGGGATATCGAATTATATCCTGATCGGGATATAATTTCAAACTATATCCCGTTCGGGATATAGAAAAAATTTTGCTGCAAAAAATGATATCCCAATTGGGAGTACATCTCGATCGGGATATGTCTCCACACTGTCCGGTAACTTCAATTTCTGAATGAGAATAGTGCTATTCGAAACATAATCGTTCAGTATCGTGCGAGCAGGAAGTTTATGAGTAGATGTTAGTAGTTCTAAATGTGTTATGAAACTACTATCATATACTACACAACAATAATCAATAATCGGTAGAATGCAGGTTTTGTAAATGTGTAAGCGAATGAACGATGGAACTGATTTAAACCTGCGGTTCATCGCGCCAAGCATTTGCCTCCATTTTTTCTGTCTTATTTTGAGACTTTTTTCTGCCTCGTTTCTTATTTTCTTATTTTTGGATGTTTTTCTTATTTTAGAATTTCTGTTTGATATTGAACGGAAATTTGATTCATATTTTTTTTCTAAAATTTTTTATATACAACTAACCATTTGGGTATGAGAACAAACAACGTTCTGATTTTTTTTCTGATTTCCAACTTGTTTTTCTGATTTTTGTCTGATTTTGAAGTTTTATGTTCTCATTTCTGTCTTTTAGATCTGGGATCCCTGTCTGTGTATATAATTGAACAAAGAAAGAGTTGCGTATGGAATATGGCAGCATGTCTAGAGATAGCTAGACATGACAAGCTACCTTTTATTTTTGTAAACAAAGACATTTTTTTAAATAACATCATTGAAACGCCTCAACCCATACTTGAATTCACACTTCACACTTCTGCAAGAATTTGTGAAAACCGCAATGTTTTAATGAAAATTCAATATCTCAAGAAAGAAAAAAATTACGAAAACAGGATAACTATCTTTATTCTACGCTTCAAGGCGGATCGAATGGAGTCAAATTCAAGGTTCCATCTTTTAAGGAAAAAAAGGAGATAGGTCTGCGAGTGAGAGTCAGGAAAATTGACGTCTTCCAACTTTGCGCAGCCCGGAACACTTCTATGCGTACTGGAACCTTGAAATATAGGTTTCTGTATCCAGTTTTCGACGCTGAACAAGAAAAACATTTTTTGAAGGTTCCAGAACCAGGTGGAAATGAGATATAACGGTATTTCGAAAAAGTAGAGATTTCTGGAAAAAACGGCGAATTTCAGTTTTTTGATTTTTTTTCACGGGAAACGTGCACTGGGAAGGCTAAAAGATAGCTATTCGTGATTAGCTTAAATTCTGCATCGAATGATGTACACATATCTGCACTCAGAAAGATGATGAGCAACTCTTATTCCTGAACAACACACACAAGACCAATATGATAAGAATGGCTGAAATACAGAGTTTTTGCTTTCTACAAAATGAAAGTTTTATCTGAAAATATGAATTCAGAAATCAGCTTTTGCATGGAACACAAGGCAATGAAAACGAAATAAAAAACTACAATGACTATAATATCACAATAAACAAAAATATGAATCGGATACATAGATATAAACTAGTAAAATATCACGTACATCGGCTAATAACTAAAAAGAGAAAAGAAAGGATTAGACAATAAATAATAATTTGCTAGTTCTGTGACCCTAGCTGTTCTGTCGAAAGCATTGAATAGTACGTTTCAAGTTCAATTGCGCAATCTCGAGCAGAATATCCCGTTTCCTTTCTACTTTCTCTTCTCAGCACAGAAAGCTGAAGTCAATAAACTAAAGGGTAATATCAAAACGCCGAGAAAAGTTTGCTTAACTTATTACCTAGGAGCACTGATTGGTTGAATAAAGTGTGGACGTGTAACAAGTGTGGACGTGTAACAAGTGTGGACGTGTGACAGAATTCAAACCTGCAATCTTCTGATCCGAAGTCAGACGGTTTTTTTAAAGTTAAATGATGTCTGTTCCCGAGGCTGGTGGCTTTTTAATCACCGCCAGGTTAATATCAGGCCAAATCTGATTGCTAAATTTGCGTAGATCATTCCTGATCGTTTAAGTGGCATTACTAATAAACGGTACTTCAAAAGAAAATTATCTTCTTCTCATCTTTCTTATCCCCATTATCGACAGTAGAAATGCTGTACCATTTACTCAATTTTTGTGCCAATTAATTTATCAATAATTGAAACAGGATAATCATTCTTCTTTGCTATTTCTCTAATATTATTCAATTCATCATTTAACAAAGTATATGTAAAACAGATATACAGTGCTCGATGAACCATTCCAGTAATAATCGATCTCTTATAGGATATCTAGCACTTATAAATTAGATCTGGAATATGAAAGAAGGATTTTTCAGAATTCGTTAAATTTCATTTTTAAATTGAAAACTACAGTTTTTACAATTTTAAAAATTTAATTTCAAAATCGAGTTGTTAACGACTTTTGAAAAATCCTTCGTTCATATCTCAGGGAATCTGATTCTGAACAACTTTTGTAGCTACACTTTTCTTGAAACTTCTCCCTTCGAGCAAAATTTAGTTCAAGGTGTTTGTAAAAATCCATTTCCAGTCGAAAATATGCAAAATTTCAGAGTATCGCATTTGCCTTTTACAATTATTCAGCTGAGGAAAATATTAATTACTTAAAAAAATGTTATTAAACTTTTGAAAACAGGGTGTCCATTCTGTCAGGGGGTCCCATTCATCATAAAAACTTGGTTCTTGCCTAGATCGATAGAGACATGTGTGGAGAATATTTACTAGGAGAAAATATGTAAAACGTTTTGTTCTTTCCTCCCTGTTATTGACTAATTAGTACTAATTAACGCTAAAATTAACATGGTCTTGTTTCCAAAAAACATAGGAAGTTACCGAATTCATTACTGTTAACGCACAGAAAAACAAGTATATAAAATTGATATCTCTAATGAGCACCTGCACCATATTCAGAAATATCATGTTCAGCTGTCAGTGATTTTGAGGTAGATGTGAAAAAACTTCAAGCGCGCATAAAGCCTGATCAATTCTTTAGTGGAAAAAAGAAACTAGACCTATTCAGCAGCCAACAATGAATTCTAGCTTTTAAAGTAGACTATCTTGTAGCTCGTGAAATTCTCCAACAGATGAGATATTGGTTGAATTTTTTGTTGAGTAGTTATTTTACAAATGAGACTTTATAAGCCAGTAGAGTAGGCTAAATTAGCGTTAATTAGTGCTAATTAGTCAATAACAGGAAGGAAAGAACACACATTTTTACATATTCTCTCTTAGTAAATATTCTTACCCAATTTCTCTATCGATCTAGCCAAGAACCAAGTTTTTATGATGAATGGATAGGAAAGAACGGGGGCGATTATTTGATCGAATCGGCCCCTGCTTGAATTCCATCGACACATACATGGTTAGATGCAGAATGAACAGCAGAATGTTTCTAGTCACTCGGCAGACCTTAGAAATGCTCTCAGAAAAAATTGGGTCCAATTAACTGTAATCACTTCTGCCACCTATTACTGATTATATTTTCGAGTGTGTCTGTCTCGGTCTCATACCTCAGCAGAACTATCATATGTCATTCGAAAGCTCTTTTTCTGCGCTATATTTCTGAATATCACATATACGGAAATAGTCGTTCTGAGGCTAAGTATGTTTAGAAATACTTCCGCCTATGGAAAATATGTGCAAATAGTCTAAGATAATCTATGACACCCTTTATAATCTAGCCACTACAATAGATATACCAATCGATAGTGAGGTTCTCGCGCTACAATTTCATGTATAGTGAAAAAGTGGGTGGCTTATTCCACTGTGAGGATCTTATGATCAACGTTTCTCAACTAGACACTACGATAGATATACCAATCGATAGTGAGGTTCTCGCGCTACAATTTCATGTATATATGATAGTGAAAAAAGTGTTCCAGGACTTCTTGACATTAGAAATGCTGTTTGGAAAGCCGTGAAAAGTGGACGGCTTATTCCACTGTGAGGATCCTATGATCAAGGCTTCCCATCTAGCCACTACGATAGATATACCATTAGATAGAGAATTTCAAGAGCTTCAAAATGAGCTATAAATGAGTCTTTCAGAAATATGCTCACATGGGTCAACAGTTGAAATACTGAGCCGACATAATGATTTTGACGTATCTTGATGCTTTCAACACTCCGTTAGTCGTTTTTCTGCCATAATAAAAATGATGTATTGTTCGAAAACATACCATTGGATAGCCCTTGAAATTCTCTACAAAGTGAGCTGGTCACAATATTCAGACAGGTCGGCCAGCCATTAAAGATATGGAAAAGAAGCTTTTGGGTGTTATCTAAGCACTACAGTGTATCATAATCACAAGAACTCTCTTGTTTTTTACGTTTAAGTAAAAGCTGGAACCAATCTGAATAATGTTTTGAATAGCCCGAGGATTTTTCTATCAGATTAGGTGCATACCGGCCTTTCATGCGAAAGGTTGTTAATAGAAAATCATCACTTTCTGTATCTGTTTTGCGAAGACGGTTTTGTTTTAGTGTATAAGTGACAAGTTCCGAAACTGAGAAAATTCACGTCATCGTGTCGCAATTTAACCAATAGTAGAAACTCAGACTCTATTAGAGCTATGTGCAGATCAGAGAACATGATGTAATCAACAAACCGACACATTATATCCGTGATATACAAATTAGACGATTGTGAGAATACTAACAAATGCTTGGATAACAGCAGCGCTTGATTATTATTATTACTAATCAAAACTATTTAAAAAATAATAAATGAAGAAAAAGAAGAGTTTATTGTTCTGATGGTTCATAACCATTTTTCAAAAATCCAATTTTATTCCAATAATTCAAATATTTTCGTATTAATTTTTGATCGATTTGTGGACATTGTTTAAAATATTTTGTTCGATCAGTTGTTTTTTTTGTTTCATAGTGAGCCATTCTAATGTTCGACGATGATTCCAAATATGATGATATTTTCATTAAGGGATTATCTGTCGACGTATTTTGTAATATTATTTGCAACCATTTTTCCATTGAAATAATTTGAAATTTTAAACCGATTTGACTAAGTTCATTTAAGAATTGTGACCATTCAATTGTATGAGGATTTAATAAATGATGAACATTTTTATCATGAGAATAGGATTGCAATGCAATATCGACGATACAATTACTCACAATATTGACTGGAATCCATGAAATGGGCTGACCACTATCGGGCATTTGACCTAATTGACCTCCGCCACCACAAATAATCAAGGGAATCATTTCTGATGTATTCCAAATACCATACTCAGTATCACCGGATATTTGTCCGACACGATAAACATCGACCAGTATACCTTAAAAATACAGATACAGGCTAGTTGAATGAAATAAAATAAATTAATTAATCAATTTTACCCCATTGTTTCATCGCAATCCAACATAGATGTTCTCCAATGTATTTTGATTGTCCATATCCTTGTCCTAACAATGGTAAATCTGATTGTCTTGGCAATGGTTCTTCTCTTACATCGTTTTTTGAATTTCCAGCTGAAGCTATACTTGAGATAAAATGAAATCGTTTAGATGATGTTGTTTTAGCCAATTTTAACAGATTGTAAACACCACGAATACAATCGTATTCGAAATCTTGTACATTGAAATTAAAATTCATTTTCCATGCCGAATGAATAATATCTGTGACATTGTGTTGCAATTCTTCAAATATCTGAGATGTTTGACCTAAATGTTCTTGCGACAAATCCATCGATATTAAAATATGAAAACGTTGTTTATTATCACGAAGAATTTGTTCATCATAACGTTGTTCAAATGTTTGATAAAATCGTCTGACATCTGTACCACGTAGTAAACAATAAACTTTATCAACCGATGATTGTTTCAATAAATCATGCACAATCCAACTACCAAGCGATCCATTGGCACCAGTGATAAGAAAGACACGTTTCATTATCGCTTCTGTGTTTTCTCCACCTTTGAAAGACAAAGAAAAAGATTATAACGTCTGTTTTACATCATACAGAAAAATGGTGAACTTACTCGATGGTGGTTCTTGTTGAATTATTTTCTCATATTCTTCTATTATGTGTTCCATCCATTTGCAATGATATGGATCATCGCCTTTATTCTGTTTATTGTAACTTCCTTCCAACTTCACTAACAATTCTCTTACTATTTTATCAATCGATGAATATTCATAGAGAAAATTCTGTTCTACTTCTACGATATCTTTACATATTTGATGTCTGAGTTGAAGAGCGCTTAATGAGTCAAAACCATAATTATCAAATAAAGACTGATAACTATCAATTTCATTGAAATGTTGTATATTCGATTTCAAATATGTTTTTAATGTTTCATACGTCCATTGTTGGAACAGGTGAGAATGATTATTAGCATCATTAATATTTAAGAATTTTTGATACATTTTGTCTGTTATTGTTTGAAATTCTACTACCGCTTTGTTTCGCATAATATTTCCTTTGTCTGTCACTGGTAAATGTTTATTCATAGGAAGAATTTTCATCATTTCTTTCATGATTCGTGAATGACTTGGTACGAATTGATTCGCTTGTTCACACGTAAACCATAACTGTTGTTCGATTTCTTGAAAATCATAATCACCCACTTGTGACCAATTTAATTCAATTAATAGACAATTACAAATACGCTGATGACCAATGACTACACATTTCTTTACTAACATATTTGAATTCATTAAATTCTCAATTGGTTTAGGATTGGTTTTTTCACCGTTTATATGGACAAGTGTATCATCTTTCCGTCCTAACACTAGATAATATCCAGATCCAGGTGGATCTTCGATGAGAATATCACCCGTTGAATATGAACCATCAGGACGATTGGAGATTTTGACGGTAAGAAATGGATCATTTGGTAAATGTATTAATTCTTTTTCATTATCATTGCCAACAAGACGTACAAAGGGTTTACGAATAGGCAGTATTGACATCCATTTCCATTGTTTACTTGGCAGTGAAAAATTTCGAATTAAGCTGATACCCGTTTCTAGAGAAATAAAAAATATCCACTCATTTCATTTTTATTGAAGAAACTTACGAGGACACACCCTTCGCTTAGACTCATTTTACTCGTCCTAGTGAGTCATAGTCATTCCGAAAACTACACGATTCCAAATGTTACGAAAAATTTAACACGTTTAGTGAATATAGCATACCCAGTCAGTCATAGTCATTTCAGAAAAGCGCAGGAAACTCTATTTACGAAAAATTTTACGCGTTTAGCGAGTTTCGAATAATAACACGCAAGAAGCTGTGAGTGTGTAAAAATAAACCACAGAAAGGCGTGTACAGCCTTTGTTTCCATGGCAACGTGCGTTTCCTGCGGCTTATTTTTACACATTCACAGCTTCTTGCGTGTTATTATTCGAAACTTCCTAAACGCATACAATTTTTCTTAAATAGAGTTTCCTGCGCTTTTCTGAAATGACTATGACTGACTGGGTATCAACACACAAGAAACGGATATATACAGATAACACGCAGGAACACTCGGGTAAAATCTCTGTTTCCATGGCAACGTGCGCTTTCTATATCTTATTTTTTGTACACTCATAGCTTCTTGTGTTTGTGTGACAAATTTCGGCACTTTCTTCAAAAGTAATAGGCATTTTTCTATATTTCTCGTAGAGGAAAAGAGAAAAATCTACAACTCTGTCTAAAATTTCAGTCTTCTACGCCTTTCCTAGACAGAGTTATAGATTTTTCTCTTTTCCTCTAGGAGAAATATACAAAAATACCTATAACTTTTGAAAAAAGTGTCATGGTTCCGAATCCTTTTAAGGTTATAACCATCCTGATGTGCTCTATCGATTAAGGAGTAAAATGAGTCGAAATGGAGAGTATCACCTCAGGATGTGTCCTCGTTAGAACGATCGTACCTGTTGATCCATAAATACTTATCAAATGAACACCATTATCGACTAACATTTGACATACATTATCTGGGCACGATGCTCCACCGTACATAACGAAGATCATTTTTTTTAATGATTCAAAATTAGGTTTTGATTGTGAATTTATTTCATTGACTAATTGCTCTAATAAGACTGGTACTGTTATCATTTTTGTTATTTGTTGGTTAATATTTAAAACCAATTCTTTCGGTGTTGGAGGATAAACTTTTGTTAATGGAAGTGCATAACAGCCACCTACTTGCCAAACAGTTACCGATGTCCAGAACGCGAATATATGGTATCTAAGAAAACAAAATAATTTTATTATTATTATTATTATACAAAACATAGTAATAGACATACAAAGCACCCCATGCAAGTACAACATCATTTTCTGTATACCAGTCCTTGTTGACACTTGATGTAAAATAGTACATATTGAAGAAATAACGATTTGTTAATCGTACTGGCTTTGGATATGCTGTACTACCAGAACTGTGAAATATCATTTGTATTTCATCTAGCTGTTGAGATCTTAAATTTTCTTTATCACCGACTGTTGCTAACTCTTGTAATTCGTCGATATGTACATCGTTGTCAAATTCAATTATTTTCAATGTTGCTATTAATGGCAAAGTTTTTAAATAATCTTTTGTTGTAAAAACATATTTGGCTTGAGTTTCATTGATTAAATATTCAATAGCTGTTTTAGAATTTCGTGTACTCAATAAAAATATAATTACATTAGGTAGTTTTAATAATGCATAAATCGTCAAGAAACATTCTGTAGTACAATTTGATAAGATACAAATAACAGTGGATGTTGATGGTGGATTATCATTAAAATACTGCGATAAAAATCTTCGTGATAAACGAGTTGTAAATTGATACACTTGGGCATAGGTTGCAGATAAATATTCTGCACTATTTGATGGATTTGGATACAACAGACATGACTTTGTTGGACGTTCTTGCGATTGATAAGTTAGAAGGTCACCCGCTGCTGTATAAGGCTGATTATCAGTTAGATTCATGTATACTCTCTCGGATGTGTGTTCAAATGATAGATTCAAATAAATAATAGATGCAACGGTTAATATTCTCGCTTTATATATGGATAAAATAAAAAAGCTTTTATCTTGATATCTCCTGTTTGATTATTATTCACATGCATGTAATGTGTCTGAACATATATTTGCTATGGATTCTTCTTCTTTCTATCCTAATCAAATGTTTATTCTCTTCGATAAACTATCATACAGTTCGTTAAGAAAAAAGCAACGAGTGAAAAAGTGAACATCAAGGATAAAAAACAATGTGATGTGAAATACAGATTAGTTTTCTACTCTGTTCGTGATTAAAACGCAAATAATACTCGGTTGACTTTATCTTTTATCGGATAAAACCAATTGTTTAAAAAGTTATCTTTTCTTGATCGTAACTGGTGAGATGAAGGCAAAAGTTTATTTTATCTACTGTAAAAAAGATAATGTGCAGATTGTATGATGTTGGAGCAGGATGAAAACCACTTGTCAAGCGTTGTCATTCACTATATCTTATCTAAATTTGCACTAACTCCCAAGTGTCTAGTGTAAGACAATTCGTCTTGTCCTACAAGTTACATCGGCAAACGGACAATTGCTCGCGAGGACATTTGCTCGCGGACAGATGCTCGTATGACAAGTTGCTCACATGGACTGATACTCGCTAGGACTAATGCTCGCCCGGACAGATCCTTGGGGGACATTTGCTCGTAGGGACTTATAAGACTGATATTCAGAACCAGTACGAGAATTTTATTTATTTATTTAAAACAAAGTAGACTCTGACATAAATTCGTGTCCAACAACCACTTTAATGATAACATTATTTAAATCTGTATGAAGATGAACATATTTTTTGAAATTCACATTTCCAATAAATCTTTTCTTCATTCTTTCGATCGACAGTATATGAAAAACCATTATGAAGAATTAATGGAGCGTTTTTAGAGGTTTTAGAAACAGTGATAGACATTTTGAACAGTGAATGAAAGATTATGATATCTTGCCTAAAAATTCTTTGCAATTTATACTCTTCCCAAAATTCCGTAAAAATTATATTGTTTATGAACAGTCATCAAGTGTACAAAAATTATTCAATATAAGAAATAATAATTAGTTTGAACCTATATGATAAACGACTTTAAGGTTCCCATTTAA